GAATGCTGAAATTGTCTAATAATATCATTAACATCACATGCAAGTAAAATTTTGTTGAAGATAATTAAAAACATGGTTACAGCGGTACATCAACAGGAATCTGCCAGTAATTCAAGTGGTTTCAGAAGAGGACCTAGAATGAAAGATATTATTGCTGATGTCAGATGGATCTTGGCTAAAAGCAGAGAATACCAGAAAGATGTTTACCTGTGTTTTATTGACTATGCAAAGGCATTCAACTGTGTGGATCATAACAAGTTATGGATAACATTGTGAAGAATGGGAATTCCAAAACACTTAATTGTGCTCATGAGGAACCTGTACACAGACCAAGAGACAGATGTTCAAACAGAACAAGGGGATACTGTGTGGTTTAAAATCAGAAGAGGTGTGCATCAGGGTTGTACCATTTCACCATGCTTATTCAATCTGTATGCTGAGCAAATAATCCAAGAAGCTGGACTATATGAAGAAGAATGGGGCATCAGGATTGAAGGAAGACTCATTAACAACCTGTATTATGCAGATGACACAACCTTGCTTGCTGAAAGTGAAGATGACTTGAAGTGCTTACTGATAAAGAGCAAAGATCACAGCCTTCAGTATGGATTATACCTCAATATAAAGAAAACAAAAATCCTCACAACTGGACCAATAAGCAACATCATAATAAATGCAGAAAAGATTGAAGTTGTCAAGGATTTCATTTTACTTGGATCCATAATCAACACCCATGGAAGCAGCAGTCAAGAAATCAAAAGACACATTGCATTGGGCAAATCTGCTGCAAAAGACCTCTTTAAAGTGTTAAAAAGCAAAGATGTCTCCTTGAAAACTAAGGTACGCCTGACCCAAGCTATGGTGTTTTCAGTTGCCTCACATGCATGCGAAAGCTGAACAATGAATAAGGAAAATGGAGAAACTAATCATTAACTTTATATGGAAAGGGAAGAGATCCTCGATAATTAAAGCACTACTGAAAAAGAAGAATAAAGTAGGAGGACTCGCAGTACCTGACCTCAGAACCTACTACACAGCTATGGTAGTCAGAACAGCCTGGTACTGGTACAATGACATAAACATTGACCAATGGAACAGAATTGAGAACCCAGATGTAAATCCATCCACCTACGGTCACCTGATCTTTAACAAAGGCCCAAAATTCATTAAATGGGGAAAGGACAATCTTTTTAAAAAACGGTGCTGGCAAAACTGGATGTCCATCTGCAACAAAATTGAGACAGGACTCATACCTCATACCATACACAAAAACTAATTCAAAATGTATCGAAGACCTAAATATAAAGCCAAAAACTATAAAGATCATAGAAGAAAAAATAGGGTTAATGCTGGAGGCCCTAATACATGGCATAAACAGGATACAAACCATAATGAACAATGTACAAACACCAGCAGATAAGCTGGATAATGGGGATCTTCTAAAAATTAAACACTTATGCTCATCAAAAGACTTCACCAAAAGAGTAAAAACAGAACCTACAAACTGGGAAAAATTTTTGGCTATGACAAATCCAACAAAGGTCTAATCTCTAAAATCTATAGGAAAATCTAACGCCTCTACAACAAAAAGACAAATAATCCAATTAAAAAATGGGCAAAGGACATGAACAGACACTTTACCAAAGAAGACATTCAGGCAGCTAACAGACACATGAGGAAATGCTCCCAATCACTAGCCATTAGAGAAATACAAATCAAAACTACAATGAGATACCATCTCACCCTGACATTACCGGCATGAATCAAAAAAAAAGAAATTAACAAATACTGGAGACACTGTGAGGAGAATGGAACTCTTATGCACTGCTGCTGGGAATGCAAAATGATACAACCATTTTGGGAAAATGATATGTGCTTCCTTCAAAATCTAGAAACAGAAATACCATACGATCCAGCAATCCCACTCCTAGGAATATATCCTAGAGAAATAAAAGCCATCACACGAATAGACATATGTACACCCATGTGCATTGCAGCATTGTTCACAGTAGCAAAAAGATGGAAACAACGTGCCTATCAACAGATGAATGGATAAACAAACTATGGTACATACACACAATGGAATACTGTGCAACAACAAAGAAATATGATGAATCTGCAAAACATCTCACAGCGTGGATGAATCTGGAGGCCATTACGCTGAGTGAAATAAATCAATCACAAAAGGACAAATAGCGTATGAGACCACTACTGTAAAAACTCATGAAAAGGTTTATACACTAAAAGAAACAATCTTTGATGTTTACAAGGGAGAGGAAAGGATGGAAAAACACTAAATAGACAATAGATAAGTGGTAACTTTGGTGAAAGGTAAGACAGTACACAATACTGAGGAAGTCAGCACAGCTTGACCAAGGCAAGGTAATGGAAGCTTCATAGACACATGCAAAATCCCTGGACTAAGGGCTGGGGACCATGGTCTCAGGGAACCTCTAGCTCAATTGGCATAACATAGTTTATAAAGAAGGTGTTCTACATCCTACTTTGGTGAGTAGCATCTGGAGTCTTTAAAGCTTGTGAGTGGCCATCTAAGGTACTTCACTGGTCCCCACCCCATCTGGAGCAAGGGAGAATGAAGAAAACCAAAGACACAAGGGATAGATTAGTCCAAAGGACTAATGGACCACAACTACCAGAGCCTCCACCAGACTGAGTCCAGCACAACTGGATGGTGCTCTGCTACCACCACTGACTGCTCTGACAGGGATCATAATAGAGGGTTCCAGACACAGCTGGAGATAAATGTAGAACAAAATTCTAACTCATAAATAAAGACCAGACTTACTTGTCTGACAGAGACTGGAGAGACCCTGAGAGTATAGCCCCCAGACAACCTTTCAACTTAGTACTGAAGTCACTCCTGAGATTCACCCTTCAGCCAAAGATTAGACAGGCCCATAAAACAAAACAAAACTCAATGGGCACACCAGCCCAGGGGCAAGGAGGAAAAGGCAAGAGGGGACATGAAAACTGATAATGGGGGACCCAAAGTCTAGAGGGGAGAGTGCTGATAAGTTGTGGGGTTGGCAACCAATGTCACAAAACAATATGTATATTAATTGTTTAATGAAAAACTAATGTGCTCTGTAAACCTTCATCTAAAGCACAGTTAAAAAAAAAAAAGAAATCAAATGACGTATGGCATTGGGCAGATCTTCTGCACAAGACTTCTTTAAAGTGTTGAAAAACAAAGATGTCACTTTGAGGACTAAGATGTCCCTGACCCAAACCATGGTATTTTCAATCGTCTCATATGCATATGAAAGCTGGACAATGAATAAGGAAGACCAAAGAAGAAATGATGCCTCTTGAATTATGGTATTGGCGAAGAATGTTGACTATACCATGGATTGCCAGAAGAATGAGCAAATCTGTCTTGGAAGAAGTACAGCCAGAATGCTCCTATAGAACTGAGGATAGTGAGACTTTGTCTCATGTGCTTTGGACATGTTATCAGGAGGAACTAGTCCCTGGAGAAGGACATCACGCTTGGTAAAGTAGAGGGTCGACGAAAAGGAGGAAGACCTTCAACGAGACGGATTGACACAGTGGCTACAACAATGGCCTCAAACATGGCAACGATTGTAAGGATGGCACAAGACCAAGCAGTGTTTTGTTCTGTTGTATATAGGGTGGCTGTGAGTTAGAACCCACTCAACGGCACCTACCAACAACATGATATGTATAATTAGCATAATGTTTTTGTTGTTAGGTGCTGTTGAGTCAGTTCCAACTCATGGGGACCACATGTGTGCCGAGTAGAACTGTTCTGTAGGGTTTTCAAGGCTGTGGCTTTTAGAAGCAGATGTTCAGACCTGTCTTCTTACGTGCGTCTGGTGGATTCGAACCACCAACCTTTCAGCTAGTAGTCAAGCACGTAACCCTTTGCACCATCCAAGGACTTCTAATTAGTATAATAATTAAAATTAATAATAAGTATAATAATGTTATATGACTATAATACTTCTATACACTATTATTTTACTCTTGTACTGTTTCTGTGATTTCTCAACAGACCAGTTATCAGCATCTTAGCATTCTTTTTTATGGTGGTTGTTGTTTGGTTAAGTATTTTATATTTTTTTAAACCAATACCCACATAGCACTTGCTATGTGCCAGAAAATGTACTACATGTTTGTCTTAGTTGGGCTCCCTAGAAGAGCAAAACCAGTGAGACATATATATATATAAACATATATTTAGAGAAATTTACTTCAAGGGAATGATTCATGTAATTGTGGGGATGGCAAGTCCCAAATCCATAGGTCAGGCAGTAGGCTGGAGACCTCTGCTGGCTCACAGGATTATGGGGGCTGGCAAATGCAAAATCTGCAGGTCAAGTGGCAGGCTGGAGACTTCTGCAGGCTTATGGAACTGGAGGTCAGGTGACGAGAAGAGTGCAGGGTTAAGACAGAGAGCTAGCTCTGCCAGAATATCCATATATGTTCCGGAGGCAGACCACACCCCCAAGGAAACTTCCCTTTCAACAGATAATATCATGGACGGACATTACATTGCATTAATCACATCACATCACATCACATCATATTACAAACAGCAACCAGTTCAGTATCTGGCCAAATCACTGAGAATCCTAGCCTAGCCTTGTTGACACATAAAATTAACCATCACAGCGTTTTTGTAAATATTAACTAATTTAGTCCTCATACTAACCTAATGAAGCAGGCGCTATTATTATCCTTAACTTCCAGATGAGGAAACTGCTAAATAACTTCAAGATGGTATATCTGTTGAGTGCTGGAGTCAGGATTTGAACCCAAGTGGTGTGACTCCAGAGTTCGTCCTCTTAACTGTTGTCCCCTGCTGCCTCTTGGGGGAAAGGCTTTGCTGGCTGGGAAATGAATCTGGACAACAGTGGTCAGATTGCCAAATCCTAACTACCAAACCACCTATATTTTAAATATTTTCTATTTTAATTTTTTAAAAAATAGTTTCTTTGATTTTTTTTTTTTTTTAGATTGTATCAAGGTCAGAAGAAATCAAAAGAAGCTCTGCCCTATTATCAAGAGGCGTTGGAATATATTGAGAGCAGTAAAGGTGAAAAAAGTCTTGAGTGTGTTCCAGTACTGAGGGAACTAGCAGGTGTAGAACAAGCCTTGGGATTTCACAACTCATGCATCAACCATTTATTACAGGTAAGCTGCAATATGCTGGCCACCAAAGCTGTTCTGGACCTGGTGCTTTTCATAGACACCAGTAGGCTAACAGCTCTGAAAACACCTGGCTTTGTTATTTGCTATAGATGAGTAGAACACTTGGCCTAGGGTGCCTGCTTTATGAGCAAGTGAGTGCTGGAGGCTGGGTCCCTGTTACCAGGTACACATTCCGCGAACAGCCCAAGATTCCCTAAAGAAGGTTTTCCTCATGCTATGTGCATAATTTAAGTATTATTTCCCAGATAATATTTCTTTATCCGTTAGTATTTATTTATTTAGAGCTTATATTATCAGACTGATTAGGACTTCTTTCTAGTACACTCTGGTATCTTCATCTCATACCACTTAGAGATGTCATCTGTTGGTGGCTATTCTACTTCATCATAAGAATTTTCAGTGAGTTTAATGTCTTTGTATCATATCATGCACACAGAGCTTATTTTTTGTCTGAGAATTTTTGTCTGCTAAAGTTGTAAAAAAAAAAGCTAAAACTTTCCTGTTATTTTAAGTAAGATATAATGACAGCTGTATTAGAATATCCCATATCCTGACTTTATCTGGATTATCACTTTTAATCATTATTACTACCATGATAGATTATTATTTCTATTTTATAGATAAGGAAATCAAGAATTAGTAGGTTGAATGATTTTCCCTCCCAAGACTACACAGCCAATAAATGGTATAGTCCCGATTCAAACTTAGTATTTTTTAGACAGATTATTCTGGCTGATAGGTAGAGAATGGATTGTGGAAGTGGAGAGACCAGTTAGGAGGCTATCGAAGTAGCGAAGGCTAAAGAGGATGGTGGCTTGGACTAAATTGGTGATAGTGGGGATAAAGAGAAGAAATGTTGAAAAATATTCAGGAGGCAGAATTGATTGATGGTACTTGATGATTCATTGGATGTGAGGAAAAGAGGGAAAAGGAGGAGTCAAAGATGATTCCCAGGTTTCTGGTCTGGACAATTGAATGGTTGTGCCATTTACAGCATGGGAGTGGGTGTTATTGGGTGATAGAGAAATGGTGAGCTCAGTATTTGTTTTTGTTTTCATTTTCTTATTGTGGTAAATATATATGTAACAAAACATTTACCATTTCAACATTCTTCACATGTACAATTCTGTGACATTATGTTTATCATGTTGTTCAACCGTTACCACTATCCATTTCCAAAGTTTTCCATCACCCTTAACAGAAGGCCAGTGTCCCCTAAGCAGTGAGTTCTCCTTTCCCCCTCCTTCCACCCGTCCCTGGTATCCACCAATAAACTTAAATCTCTATGCATTTGCCTAGTCTAGATATTTCATATAAGTGGGCTCATACAATATTTGCCTTTTTGTGTTTGACTTATTTCACTTAGAATCATGTGTTCAGGGTTCGTCTGTGTGGTAGCATGTACCAGAATTTCATTTCTCTTTATGGCTGAATAATACTCCATTGTATGTATCTACCACATTTTGTTCATCTGTTTATCTGTTGTTGGACGCTTGGGTTATTTCCATCTTTTGGCTAGTGTGAGTAATGCTGAAATGAACATTAAAACAAGTATCCTAGATTTTTCAAGACTAAATCCAGATCTACTCTCAAAGTCTCAGTGCAGCCTCTGCTGTACCCATTTCTAAAGTTCAAAGAAAGACATCACGTGACAGTATCCTCAGAGTCATCTGCAAGAGCCATCACTGCTGACAAAATTCTCTCGAATAATAGGTGACTTCTGAGACCCAGGACCAACAGTAAGCATTGCAAAGATTTGAGTGTGGTTTGGGGAAGCACTTCCCAAGCAGTGTTCCATAGGACACTGGCATCTCAGTAGCGTTCATAGGCTTTCCTAGAAAAAGTGTTTGCAGTTAAATAAAAGTGGGAAATGTTAAGTTAAAATCAAACAGATTTCTTTAACACATGATTTTACGGTGCATTAATATGCCAACCTACATTGTGAATCAGGAGGGAGTTGAATCAGCTCTGTGAGACACTAATATTCCCCAGACCATTGAGGAAACACTGGCTTAGAGAAAGAAATTCAAATGTCTAAGGGGGGGATTAGCAAAGGGATTCAAATATAAATGCTGCCTTCCAGCGTATCAGACCTTACCACTCTCGGGAACCCTTAACAATCCATGAACGAGAAATGAGTTTAGGTGGTTCTCATATTTGTGGGGCTCAGATTCACCAGTTTTAAATATTTTGCCACATTTATTTTCTCTTTCTATGTAGACACATATCCAAACATAAACACACATATGAACACACAATGAGAGAGTATTATTTTTATTTTTTAATCATCTGAAAGTATGTTGTCTATATTGTGTCCCTTTATCTCGGAATACTTTAGTGTATATTTCATTAAAAATAAGAATATTCTTTTATGTAGCTACAGTACAGTTATCAAATTCAGGAACATTTACATTGGTACAGGCCATATTTCAGTTTTGACAGTTGTCCCAATTCTGTCCTTTATGACAGTTTTTTCCCTCCAATACAAAGTCCATTCCAGGATCAGGTATTGCATTTAGTCATCAAGGCTCAGGTCTCCTTTAATCTGGAACATTTTCTCAGCCTGAACTTTGTCTGCTATGACACTGACACTTCTGAAGAATTGTTTTAGGCTGGGTTCTCTAGAGGAGCAAAACAAATGAAGCACATATATAAATATATGGAGAGAGATTTATTTATAAGAAATGGCTCATGCAGTTGTAGTGGCTGGCAAGTGCCATATCCATAGGTCAGGCATCAGGCCGGAGGCTTCTGACTCCTGTGGTTGCAGGGGCTGATGAACCCGACTCGGCAGGCCAGGCAGAAGGTTCATGGAATTGCAGGAGCTGGTGAATCCTAAACTATGCAGGTCAGATGGCAGGCCGCTGGCTCACATCCCAAGAACCAGAGGTCAGAGGATGACGAGTTGGATGCAGGATCAAGAGAGGGCAAGCTTTGCCAGAACATCCATATATATTGAATACAGGCCGCACCCCCAAGGAAACTCCACTTTCAACTGATTGGTTGTTCACCTCAGATCACAAAATGGATCACATAGTATCTGCCAGACCACTGAGAATCATGACCTAGCCAAGCTGACACATAATCTTAACCATCACAAGAATGCATAGACCGTTCCTCAGCTTGAGTTTGTCTGATACTTCCTCATAACTATAGATTTAGGTGATGCGGGCCTAGCTGGACTATAAGAGGATTTTGTGTCCTTCTTGAGGTAATTACATCTGGAAGCATATGATGTCTGTCCACCCGTCACTGGTGACGTTACTTTCTATCAAGGTGATGTCCAGTTTCTTCACTGTATAAAACCCAAAAAGCCCACTGCTGTTGAGTCGATTCTGTCTCATAGTGACCCTGTAGAGTTTCCAAGGCTGTAAATCTTTACGGAGGCTAACCGCAACATCTTTCTCCTGCGGAGTGGCTGGTGGTTTCAAACCACTGACCTTTCAGTTAGCAGTTGATTGCTTTAACCATTGTGCCACCAAGGCTCCTTTTTCTTCACTATATAGTTCCTATTTTTCCCCTTGCTGCTAATGAGCATTCTGTAGAGAGACATTTTAAGACCATGTGAATATCCTGCTCCTTGTCTAAGTGCTCCTTCTAGATTTAGCATCCACTTATGAATCTTTCCTTAACCCGTCTTTATTATGATGATTGCAAAGTGGTCCTTTTCCAACTCTGCCATTCCATCCACATTTACCTTTTATGCTGACATTCTCCTGTTAGGAATAGCCCTTCCTCTACGCTCCAGTTTATTTGTTGTTTGTGTGTTTGCTTTTTTTATTTAACAAAATGTCCTGGAAATCACGTTATAACAATTTGTAGAAGTCTTCCTCATTCATTTGTACCGATGTATGATAATCCATTTTGGGTATGCACTATAGTTTTTTCAAATAGTTTCCTACGTTTGGGCATTTAGATAAGCTTCAATATTTTGCAATGACAAATAATATTGTAATGCATAACCACATATATATATAGTTGGAGTTCAGAATAAATTCCTGGAAGTGGGACTGCTAGGTCGAAGGGGGCGTGAATGGGTAGCTTTGTTAAATATTGCCAAATTGCCTTTCATTGGTCTTGTACCATTTGTCTTCCCACCACCAATGTGTGAGCCTGCATGTTTCCCCACAGCCTGTTCCAACAGAGTGTATGTCAAGCTTTTGGATTAGTTCAGTTTGATGGGAGAGAAATGACATCTCAGTATAGTTTTAATTTACATCTCTCTTTTATTTAAAACAGAGTTAAAGATGTTTTTATATGATTAAGAGACTTTTTTAATATCTTTTTTTGTGAGTTGTCTATTCATACTATTTGTCCATTTTTTAAAATAGGATTTCAGTCTTGTTTCCTTTAATTTATAAAGGTTCCTTATTACTACAGTTACTATCCCTTTATCTATTATATATGTAGTAAATATTGTCACCCAATTTGTAATTTGTATTTTTATTTTTCTCAGGATTTTTTTACTGAGGTAATTCACACACGACAAAATTCACCCTTTTAAAGAATGTGATTCAGTGGTTTTATTATGTTCACAAGCTTGTGCAACCATTCCCAGTATCTAATTCCAGAATATTTTCATCACCACAGAAAGAAAGCCCGTACTCACTAGCAGTAACTCCCCATTCCCTCCTCCCTCCATCCCCTGGCGACCCCTATTCTGCTTTCTGTTTCTGTGAATTTGCCCATTCTGGATATTTCATAGAAATGGAATCATACAGTACGTGGCCTTTTGTGTCTGCTTCTTTCATTTAGCATAATGTTTTCATGGTTCATTCATGTCATAGCCTGTAGCAATACTTTATTCCTCTTTATGTCTGAATAATATTCCATTGTGTCAGATATACCACATTTTGTTTAGCCATTCAACAATTAGTAGACATTTGAGTTCTTTCCACTTTTTGGCTATTATGAATAATACTGCTGTGTACATGTGTGTACAAGTTTTTGTGTGCACATATGTTTTCAGTTCTCTTGGGTGT